TCACCACCCCCCACCACACACATCACTACTTCCCACCACACACATCACTACTTCCCACCACACACATCACCACTCCCACCACACACATCACCACTCCCACCACACACATCACCACCCCCCACCACACACATCACCACCCCCACCACCCATCGCCACCCCCACCACACACATCACCACCCCCAACCACACACATCACTACCCCCACCACACACATCACTACTTCCCACCACACACATCACCACCCCCACCACCCATCGCCACCCCAACCACACACATCACCACCCCCAACCACACACATCACCACCCCAACCACCCATCGCCACCCCCACCACACACATCACCACCCCCAACCACACACATCACCACCCCCACCACACACATCACCACCCCCACCACACACATCACCACTCCCACCACACACATCACTACTTCCCACCACACACATCACTACTTCCCACCACACACATCACCACTCCCACCACACACATCACCACTCCCACCACACACATCACCACCCCCAACCACACACATCACCACCCCCACCACCCATCGACACCCCCACCACACACATCACCACCCCCAACCACACACATCACCACCCCCACCACACACATCACCACCCCCACCACACACATCACCACTCCCACCACACACATCACCACCCCCCCACCACACACATCACCACCCCCCCACCACACACATCACTACCCCCACCACACACATCACTACTTCCCACCACACACATCACTACTTCCCACCACACACATCACCACCACCCCACACATCACCACCACCCCACCACACACATCACCACCCCCACCACCCATCGCCACCCCCACCACACACATCACCACCCCCAACCACACACATCACCACCCCCACCACACACATCACCACCCCCACCACCCATCGCCACCCCCACCACACACATCACCACCCCCACCACACACATCACCACCCCCCACCACACACATCACTACCCCCACCACACACATCACCACCACCACACCCATCACTACCCCCACAACACACCCATCACTACCCCCACCACACACATCACCACCCCCACCACACATATCACTAACCCCCACCACACACATCACCACATATCACCCCAGCCCCACCACACATCACCCAAGCCCCACCACACATCCCCCCCCCCCCCCCCCCCGAATAAACACACATACACACGCACGCACGCACGCACACACACACACAACCCCACCATCCCGAACCCCACCCCACATCACCCCCACCCGCACCACACATCAGCTCCTCCTCCAACCCCATCGCCAATCACCTCCCCATTATAAATCTCCTCCCCCTCCCTAACCCCCACCGCACATTACCCCCTCACCCACCAGACATCAACAGTCCCACCCCGCACATCAACACTCCTACCGTTGGTCGATGAAAGTTCGCGAAAGTCCTCTCTGACGTGACCTGTGATGGGATGTCTTCAGATCTTTGTTTATCCGCAGCAAGAACTAATGATGCTGTCCCAACCCCAACCACACACATCAACCCCACCACACAAGCCAAACCCTATTCCTAACCACATTGTACTACCCACACCCACACACCCCCTCACAAAGTCCTCCGTCAGTTATTGACAGAACTATTCAACCAGCGACAACCGAAAAAAAAAGTTGTGTTGTGCTTTGCAGAGGAGCGCAATTGAAGTCGATAGTATCCAGTAACAGCTAACCAATACTGATGAATGTCCCGTTTGACACACACTGTAGCACGTATACAGCTTGAGGCATATACTGATATATTCTGGTACCGTTCCGGAACCACATTCACGATGACTAAGGTAATAATATCTATCACTATAAAAAGAAACAGAATTAAATGCATGCTGTACAAAAATCGATATTGATTCCGCGTCAGATGATCATATACAAAAGTGTTGCATAGCAACGTATTATATCATGTCCTTGATTGCACATTTACAGCAAAGCCTGTTACAAACATCGGTGTAATGGACAAAGGACATATGGAGACAGGAAGAGATACAGATCTATGGATAGAACTGTATTACAATGAATGGGACTTTTTGGTGTAGATGCTGACAACGTTACCAAGCAGGTGGTGTACAGATATGGGAGATAGGGGGTATATACATGTGGATAGTTGATGTTAATACAATGGTTGAATGATGACAGATTGAACTATATCAAGACAACTATCTTCCTTGTGTGGATGGAGTCTATTGCTACATGCGAGACGCTGGGCCACAGGCGTACATGTGGTTAAGAAACTATTCAAGGATTGCTCATTCCTGTAACCAGACGCCATGATTTCAAAGGCACGAACGCCCGCCTCGGACAGCTTGGTATCTGTCTTAATAAATACATAAGGCGGTAAGTCTGGAGTGAGTGAGTTGGGTTTAACGCCGCTTTTAACAGTATTCCAGTTTGTCGCGGCGTGTCAGCTAAATGTGGGAGGAAAGCCCGAAGTGATGCAGGCCTCAGACATTTACCACTTCGGTGAAACCCACGTGCATGGGTATGGTGCTGACAAACCTAGAAACATAATCGGGGCGAACCGGGATTCGAACACACAATCATTGGTTTCTGGCGTGCCCAAGGGACGCAACTCTGCACAGCGAATCGCGGCGCCTTAGACGATTGGGCCACCCGTGCCCCCTTGGACATGCCACAGTGAATTGATAGATATATGGGCGGATGGATAGATATATAGGCGGATGAATAGCGGGAAGGATGATATATATATATTATATATATAATGAATGGACTGATGGATGAATGGGTGGATGGCATACATGTACAGTAGTTGGGTCCGTGGATGTGTTGCCAGGAGGGGAATTAGACGGATGAGGGGTAATGGATGGACATGCTTCTCAGCGAATTGAAACCAGGTCAGACAGGTTTATATGCCAAATAGGAAAAACGAACCATAGGCAAACACAAACAAACAAAAGTTGTATCTACACGCAACGATACATACTGTTAGTATGCATGTGAGTCATATTCAGGTAATCATTTAATCGGTGAGTGAGAAAGTCCTGCTTGACGCAGCCTCCAGCAATATAACGGCTGGTCACTGAGTTGGGTTCACATATTGTCCCCATGTGCGGATTCAAACCCGGGCTTTCAGCGTGACGAACAAACGCTTCAACAACTGACCTACCCCATCGCCCCTATTCAGCCTACGAGTCTAAAGATATGGCAAGCCGTTTTCACATTTATTACGGAATTACAGATATCTTCAATTGTTTTAAAGATATCTTGAATTGTTTTGAAGATATCTTGAATTGAATTGAAGATATCTTGAATCGAATTGAAGATATCTTCAATTGAATTGAAGATATCTTAAATGCAGATAATTGTAGATATCTGAAATAAAATTTAAGATATCACGAAATGAATTAAGGATATGGTGAAGCGTATTACTGATTTCTTGAAAAGGATTGCTGATATCTTAAATTCGATTACTGATATCAAAATATGATTTAAAGATATCAAAATGTCACGTTTTGTTATGATAACAATAATTCAATTCCTGATATCTTGAAACTAAATACAGATATCAATAATTAATTATTGATATATTCAATTGTTGCCATTATTTAAGATGTTACATTAATAATGTTACTTAAATTAGATAACTGATATCAATAATTGATATAAAGATAATGATATCTTGAATTGGATTTTTGATATCAGTAACGGTCAGAATTAATGATATCTTGAATTGAATTAAAGATATCTCTAATTGAATTAAAGATATCTCTAATTGAATTAAAGATATCTGTAATTCATTTGTGGATATGTATAACTTATTTCAAGATATCTTGAATGGATTTTAGATATCTTGAATTTATTTCTTATATATTTATGTACTGTAGGATGGTAATTGTTTAATGATATCTTAACTAAATTTAGAGATATCACAAACTAATTTGTTGATATCACCGTAACATTTTAAGATATCAGTAATTGTATAATGGATATCAGAAATGAATTTAAAATATCTTTAATTATTTTTTGATATCTTAAAAACATTATTGATATCTTTAAATAAAATACCGATATCTTTAAAACAATTGAAGATATCTGTAATTCCGTAATAGTGAGTGAGTGAGTGAGTTGGGTTTAACGCCGCTTTTAACAATATTCCAGGTATATCGCGGCGTGTCAGCTTAATGTGGGAGGAAAGCCCGAACTGATGCAGGTCTAAGACGTTTACCACTTCGATGAAACCCACGAGCACGGGTATGGTGCTGACAAACCTAGAAACATAATCGGGGCGAACCGGGATTCGAACCCACAATCATAGGTTTCTGGCGTGCCCAAGGGACGCAACTCTGCACAGCGAATCGCGGCGCCTTAGACGACTGGGCCACCCGTGCCCCCGTAATTCCGTAATAAATGTGAAAACGGCTTGCCATATAAAGAAGCCACAATAACTTGGTGGATTTATGATAGTCTTAGCAGTTATGTCTCCGTATATAAAGAAAGAAAGGACGATGGATTGAAAAGAAAAGAAAAAATGACGAGAATACAGAGCAAGAGAAACAGGAGGCCATACACAAAGCAAGTTGACAAGGCGAGAGTCACATTTAATAATTGGCAACAGGATGTTGATAGTTGTACTGTTAGGCCTGACTCCATTGATGGAAATCGATTGAACTATTCCACTCTGGGTCCGCGTCAGATCAGTTTTCAATTACCCCGCTCTCGTGAATAGAAACTTCCACAATTACATCCGCCTTGTATTATTAGGGCTCGGCTGAACGATGGCAATCCAGCATCGACTCCGCATATAGGTCGTTAAACAGTGACATATGTACAAGTACTAAACTGCCGGAGCTGCAAGTGTTGAATGAGGCTAAAGAGAACAGCGACAATCAATAGAGCTCCAGTGCATGGTGCGTCACAGGTCTGGTAGCGATACCTACAGTTGGTTTTTACGGAACAGGTATGACCGATTGCGGTGGTCACTTCACCTCACACAGTGTTCTTATATTTCAGATGAAGCCTTACAAAAACGATGGGGATAAAGGAGATATTTGCGGAGGAGTTTAGTTCCACGAGTTTTCTTCTTGACCACAAGTATCCGGGTCGGTTTGTGCGGTTTGAGGTAAGGCGTTACTTGCTGGTTAAGGTAAAACTGCTTCTGTCTAAACAGGGCGTACTATCCCCCTGCTTGACGAGCCTGTGATTAGCATGATGTGTGATGAAGCGAGTCTAGAGCACATCGGGCTTCACTTGTCATATAACGTGTCTGTTGTATCGAATAAAATGTTCATGAGAGGCGGTTTCAGGTGAAAGTTTGGCTGGCCACGAGATGAAATGAACAAGTTATTAAACAGCATACTATGTTCTGTTTTTTATATGTTTATTAAAATAATATAACTAGTATATGGTATAATTATATAAAGGGACAAGAACACTTTCCATTATTATTACAAATATATGTTAGAGCATAATCCATTGTGCGATTCCGACTATATCATGAGCATGTGTTTATGAATCACTATCAAATGGTGATGACACCAGGTGTTCGCGAAAAGGTGAGCGTATCCTGTCCCACCTGTTGCACCTGTCACAAACACATGCAAAGGCAAGTTAATTGTTCACCTGAATAAAATACGGGAACATATGGTATACGTCATTATACATGTAGATAATTGCATCGGACATCATTTTTGACACTGATGGCGTCAAATTTGGAAATGTCCCCCACATGCATGTCTACCATAAAACGTTTTGAATGCTTGATATAGGCCCGAATATCGTATGAAGTTCTTTAAAATATTAGGGGCGGTCGGGTAGCCTAGTGGTTAAAGCGTTCGCTCGTCACGCCGAAGACCCGGGTTCGATTCCCGACATGGGTACAATGTGTGAAGCCCATTTCTGGTGTCCCCCGCCGTGATATTGCTGGAATATTGCTAAAAGCGGTGTAAAACCATACTCACTCACTCACTCACTCACTCACTCACTTTAAAATATTAGACATATTAGTATTTTTTTAGTTTTATTTTATTTTTCCGTTAGGTTACACATGTAGGAAGGTGACCGTGATGCTAATACACCACGTGATATTTTTTGTCTTTGGCAACGTCCCCTGTGGGTGAGGTATGAGGGGACGGGTGTAGTCATGTTGGCCTGGGTGCCTCTGTCAGACAGGGACTATGGGCAGGGCAGCACTCGGTACGGGTGGATCATGAGAAACGATCCATGAATTCTAATGCTCTATGTTAATCTACCAATACCCAAATAAACTGTACCCGAATTTCCGAAACACTGTCTCATGTGTTCACAAATAATCAATATTCAGTGTAAAAAGATAGCGATTTTGGTTTTACGCCGCTTTTAGTAGTACTCCAGCAATATCACGGCTATATCATCTAGGGATTCGAACCTGGACCTTCGGCGTGACGAACGCCCGCATAAACCACAAGGCAACCTCACCGCCCCACAAATACTAGACAGCAAGCTGTTGTGGTGTAGGACCACTTTTCAATATTGACATGACCCGTGAAGATCCGGGGAAGAATAGGTCTTCAGCAACTCATGCTTGCCGTATAAGACGGCTATGCTTTGTTGTTAGAGGCGCCTAACGGGGTCGGGTGGTCAGGCTCGCTGACTTGGTTGGTGCATGTCATCGTATCCCAAATGCATAGAGCATTGCTCATGATGTCAATCACTGGATTGTCTGGTCCAGACTCGATTATTTACAGACCGCGGTCATATATTAGAAATATTGCTGAGTGCGGCGTTTAACAACAAACAAACAACAATTGTTGCCAACATGGCTGCCAGGGGATATGTATGTAGCAGGGCTTCCAGGCAGTTATATCTGTTTCCACAACAAAACGTATTAGTAGGTAATGTATGCTTGCACAATAGTAGGATCGGCGGGTCATTTACCATCAGTATAATTAGTTCTTCTTTATTATTTAAATTGCTCAAATCCTATGAATGCATCAGGATGGAGCGAAACATCAGTCATTTGGTTTACAAAGAAGGGGAAGTATACTGCATGACTGGAGATACACGGCGTACATAATGAACGACATCTGTCGCAAAAAACCAAGCTTGCACTTCAGTCTTGCCTGTTGATTCAGTTGTGATGCTAATTTCGATTTGCACTTGAAAACACATACTATAACACACAACATAAGTTGTCAGTGAATACCAGTTAATTTGGAAGACACGATCATAAGGTCCTCCACACCAATGGAACGCAACATTGGTGATTTCATAAAAGACAAATACCCTAATCAGTAATGTTATTTTTTAAATTCACTCAGATCCGAAATTTAGATTTTTAAAAAAAACATGCTGTAAATAACGCTGAGAGTGGTGATTTAGTAATGTGTAAAATATGGCGACATTTACGATGTACCTAACTTTCAGAGGTCATTTTCAGTACTTTTGCTTGGCCGGTGGATGATATCACAGAACAGGGAATGTCCCACATTATTCAAAACTGTGAAGTGTATCTGTGTCCGTGATGTATTTTGAATTTTACACGACTTCAAAGTGAGGGGCGAAGAGGAGGGACATATAGAGAGTTACTGGGTATCCAGCCTGATGATATAACTCTTTAAGGGAAAAGGCAATGTGTGATATTTATATTACATTTTCCCTTCATTTATTTCAATGCCATATGCTACTGTAGTAGTCAACCCCGTCAATGGCGTCTTTTCCAAGATGGCGGCACTTCCGGTTCCCATTTACGACGCCATCAAGTTGCGAGCCCATGTTCGAATCTCCAGAAATGACGTCATGATAGAACAATGTTTTATCGTGAAATAAAGAACGCTTAGTTCTTCATTGTTCTTTGCGATTTATCGCGTAGCTATTTTATGGAAGTGAATAAACTGTTCTAATACTTTCATATAGCGCCTGACATCCAACTTGGATAGTTGCTCAGCCATTTCAAATGTTAAATTTAGCTCGGTTAAATCTACAGGTAACCTTGCTCCACATTGAAAACACAGAATGTTTATCTCCATTCTAGATAAAACGCGAACCGGTGTTAGCAATTATATTGAGTGAAGCGCCATGGGGAGAGTCCAGTGTTTTGAGTGGGTCGTCGATCAGATCAGAATTTATGGAATCACCGACAACAGCCTTAAACAAAATATGGCACTCTATATATGGTCAAGCAGATTGTTTACACCGTAATACTTCACGCGGACGTATGACAGGCACTGAAAGCGTGTAGCACGGCAACTTCGTAAGCTAACATGAGGTGGGCTTCCCTGAAGAAAAATAAGTAAGCTGTGCAAAGATTTCGTCCTACACCGCGTGTCACCACTATGATGTCATATCGCTCATTGTGATGCAAAAGATATGACGTCACAGTCGTATATAGTAAACCGTCAAATAGCAAGCTCTCTGTTGTCCACAAATACGTTCTCTTTGTAGATTTCTATCGTATTTTCTGCACGAAATCTATTGCCAGACAACCTTTAAATATTGTTACAGCAGCTTTGCATTTTGTAACCTATAATTTTACATACAATTATTTAAATACGCCAACCGACAATGACTGTAAAAGAAGGACTATTCTAAACATATCAGCTTACGCGGAGATGTTGCCGTCAAATCGTCTGTTTTAATCTGTGAGGGCTTATTGTGATTTGATACCTCTGACTGACCAATCAAAATCGAGTACTTTCCAAATTCATGTAGAATATATGTTACTATCCAATTCAGTGGATCGGTGTACATTCGCTATTTATTCTCAGCTCCTAGAGGCGTATACAACCCCCCTTAAATTGCCTGTGAGGCACAAGAATACCGGGTTACTTCTGGGTGAACAGAGGCGTATTTCGGACAAAGTCATTTGCCTAGGGAAACATGTTACATGTGCTTCAGTGAGGGGCAGGACCGACGCCCTAGAAGCCCGCGGGCACGGTCTTCACCCATCCACCTACTCTCAGCCACCAATGCGTCGTCGCCCGACTTGTGTGACCTGTGACCTGTGACCTACAAACACACGTTCAGGGAATATTTGATATGGCAAACTATGTGTCATATTTTTCTACATGTTTAGTTTTGTGTGTAATCACACACTACCAGCGTGGCCCAATCGTCTAGATGCTGCTAGTTTCTGTGCAGAGTTGCGTCCCTTTTACGGGCCAGGAACCTATGGCTACGGGTACGGTTCCCAGATTTTCGGCGATCATGTTTCTTGTCGGCACCAAACCCGCATCACTTCAGACTCTCCTCCAACATCAAGCTGGCACGCAGTGACGTAATTACAATCCTGTTCAAAGCAGTGTAAGACCAAACTCACTCACTAACTCTCTCACACATCACCCTTCACCCAGACTGTGCCGTTCCTGGTAAAGCCGAGCGGATTAAAACAAAACAGGATTAGCGGATCTGGGTACGCAGTGACGTCCCTCTAGATGGGCATCTCCATGTTCCCGACATTAGTCGCCCTTTTGTTTGTTTGTTTGTTTGTTTGTTTGTTTGTTGTTTTACGCCTCACGATTCAAACCATATAACCGCGGTCTGTTCATAATCGAATCCAGTGATTGACATCATGAGAATCGATCTACGCAATTGGGATACGCATGACATGCATCAACCAAGACTGCGAGCTTGACCACCCGATCCCGTTAGCCCCTCTTACGACAAGCATAGTCTCCTTTTACGGCAAGCATGGGATGCTGAAGACCTATTCTCATCCGTATCTTCACGGGTTATTAGTCGTCCCGATGGACGGGGTTCCGGAATAACGGGGTCCCACTATAGTTGTCGGCTAATTTCTATGCTTTCTCTGATGTCTGGTTATTCTATACTTGGTGTTTTACCAATGCAGCTGTCAAATTTCACCTGGGAATGTACTAACCATATTATTTACATCTATTATAAATATTGATTAATATTTAATGCTTCTTTATGTTCGGTTCAGTGACTGCACACACTCCCGAGTCCCTGTCCGATGCATGCTATAGCTGCAATGTATTCAGACGTATGGGAACTACATGTCAACAATGGGAATCAATTTACAACTGATCATAGTTGAAAGTGATCACTATATATGTTCATTATGAATGTGTTATGTTTCGAAGAAATATAATTAAAATATATATTCTATAGTTTAATTTTAAACTGAATTTCTGTCATTTTTGTTGGTGTTTATTGACTTTAGAATGACGTACGTAGATGTGAAAAGCGTAGGAAACATCAATAGTATGAGAGATTCTAATTATCAATGTTTTACGTTAAAATATAATGTCAATATTTTTATGACATGTTGCAATATTGAACTGTACATGAATAATTATTTCTATCACTGACAGTGCTGACAAGGTAGACACAAATTATGGATAACAACTTCTTTAATACTGTAAAGGCGACGTTTCGGTATAGATCCATATACCGTTGTCAAGCAAGACTTTATAGTATCTAAGAAGTTGTTTTATTCATAAATTGTGTTTAACTTGTCATTCGTCAACGTCTAAGTAATGCCTCTGAAACAATTCATTGCTGCTTGAGTACACTGCTATATACGAGGCTGTAGACTTGGGTTAACGCATTTCCGCACATTGATAAGCTGATGTAGTCAATAGTTATTATGATATATATTGATTATGAATATTTTAAGTTTAGAAATATATCAATACTTTTGCAGTGTCTTTCTATATTAAATTGTAATTATTTATTTCAGTGATAGCTGGAATACAATGATAAACGTTTAGATAGGGTTGGTTAATTATTGTAGATAAACTGTCCTCACTTAATGTCCCATGTAATTTGCGGTGCTGGAATATCAGAGACTGAGTAGGGTAGTATGAGGTATAACGTCGCGATCAAGATTATTGCACTTATATAGAATCGTACATACACGTGTGTCTGTCGGATTGCACTAAGTTCAGACTAATGCCGGTTTTATAGTGTTAGGTCACTGAGATACCATGCCGACGTTTAACATGAACACCCCACTCAGATATAGTATTACTGACCATTCCTTGTTTTAACCCCTTTATGCGGAGCCCCAGGCAGGGTAACAACAAGTACATCCTTTAGTGTCTTTTGTACTCAGACAAAGCTCTTGTCTCCGAGCCGACCAGTCCTTGTTTTATCCCCTTCATGCCGAGCGACAGACAGGGTAACAACAAGTACCTTCTTTTAACGCTTTTGGTATGACGCTGTCGGGGATCGAACCCCGGATCTTCCGCTCTCTGGGCGGACGCTCCACCTCTAGACCACGGAGGCAGTCCCGCATATCTCTAGGTTTTATCTGGCGACCTACATTCAACGTACCTCCAGTATGTTTTATCATTGTGTGGTTTGTTTACTGGCTGTCGTCGCATGGTTAGAATACTGCGGTGCGGCGTCAGGCAATAAATTCCACCATTTTGTATGTAAATTGTGTGAATGACGGGTGCTACCGGTCGGGCAGGACATGCTTACCCTTTTCGCGAACACCTGGTGTCATCACTGATTTTCAGTGGCCCATTCATATAGTTTCCACAGGTATTTGCCCTTTATGTCAAATGGAATCTGTTTCGGTAGAAAGTCTTGACTGATTATTCTCGTGCATTGACAGTTAATATATTAACAAATTATTGCCTTTTCCTGTCAAATATAATGGATATCTTCACTCTCAGATGCGCGACTAATGGAAATATTTCCCTCTTAAAGTCTTTAAGTGTCAAAAATTATTTTTTTACAAAATTTTGGAGACTGTAAAAACATTTTATTTACCTCATTTATCTCATTGTCGCTGAAGGGTTTTACCGTGGGCCGTTTTATTGCAGTGTGGCAGCCCAAAGCTGTACGCGGTCTGGAGGTTTACATGGATGCTCTACCACATCGCGGCTATCATATCAAGCGGTCTCCTGGAGAAGTACTACGCCAGCTCTCCAGATAACAGATGGAAGTGGCTGATTTTCCTCACGAACTGGAACTTCATGGCTCTCACATTGGGGGTCATTGTGGATTTCTTTACAACTGTGTTCGTCCAGTGGGGCTACCCGCAACTTCTCGAAGGTAAGGACGAGCATAAGGAGGAATAGGCGCCTAGATTATCTTGTTTGTTTGTTTGTTGTTTAATGCTGCACGCAGCAATATTCCAGCCAGATGACGGCGGTCCGTAAAAAATCAGACAATCTAGTGATTGACATCATGATCATCGATCTACGCAATTGGGATACGATAACATGCATCAAACAAGTCAGCGAGTCTGACCAACTGATGCTTTTAGTCTCCCCTTACGACAAGCATAGTCGCCGTTATAGGCTATACTCTGAAGAAATAACGCTTTCTCTACCGCGACCATTCCGTTAAATATCCGCGGTGTGGTCGTGTGAAGGCCTGGTCGCCTTTAGAGCTATATTACCTTTGAAGAAATGGCGCTTTCTCTACCGCGACCATTCCTTTAAATATTCGCGATGTGATCGTGTGGAGGCATGGTCTTCACGTCTGTATTCGCAACTACTCGAATGTAAGCATGGAGCATAGAGAATACAGCATCAGTAAGAGATTAGATCATAGCTACATTACACTTCAGACTAACCGCTTTCTCTACCGCGACCAGAGCTCTAGACATTTGCGGTGTGATCGTTAGTCTGTCAAACAGACCCTGCAACAAATATATCCAATACAGCCCATGCAAGTCTAAAATGTTTGGCAAGTCTAGAATACTGCAGTGTCAGACGAAGAGGTGTCTGGGCTCCTTGTTTATTATATTCTATAACTATAATTTAACAACTGTTTCTTTCCTGTAAACTATGTTCATTTCAAAGACTAGATGTTAGCCTATGTGATCGAATGAAAGCAAAGAGCATAGATACAGCATCACTAAGAGCCTAGATCATAGCGATATTACAGTGAAAAACACTTACTCTTCCGCTAAACTGTATGCAATAGTACATAAAGTCTTGGAGAGACAGATGAAGTAAATGAGTTTCATTTCACTTGCCGCTTGTATATGTTCATGATGTTTAATATTCTATCTTAGTGCTATACATAATTAGATAATGTATATGGTCGCTGGCAAAGAGAAGCTTAAGAACCCGTCTTTGCTCAAAACGTGTAACTGTATTGACAAGATTTATCAACCAATTAATCTTTTTTTATATAAACAGTATCATGATTTATTATGTTCAAGGGGCTAACATGATTTCACCCAAGCTTAAACTTATCCACACTTAGAAATACTTTATTTCCTAACCGAAATACCATAAAATCATTGCGGGTACTATACATGCAATACTACTGGCGTCATTCATATTAATACTATCCCACATCCCATATTCCACACTCAAAATTAATTTCAAAACACCCTAAACCAGGCCAATGCAATCCAGAGCAATCGAACACAATCTAAAACGATCAACAAATTCAAATATTTTTGTTTCTTCATTATGGGGTCAGTGATCACTGCTCACATGGATTATTTTAATTGTTTTATAGTTTGACATGTACTTTTACATCACATGGTATGAAATGACGTAACTTGTAAAATGCATGTTTAATATTCATGTGTTCTGTTACACCATGGTTAGAGCGCGTGTCAGAGGCCGTGATCGTGTCCTCGAATCCAGGTTTATTTTACAGTTCTCGATTGAGGGATATTGACGGTCCGCTTCATTTAACTTGTCAGTTGTAGCCGAGGTGAGGAGAGTTATATTGCGACGCACTACCAAGTTCTCGGGATTTAAAGACTTATTTTTGTCACGTTTCAGAAAAGGAAGAGGAGTCGTTACCATGGTACCTGAAGTTGGTGTGGGTGCTGTCTAACATCTATAACTCCGTGTCTTTGATGGTGACCGTGGGTTACTGGGGTTTCGGCACGTTCGACCGTAAGTGAAAGTTTTAGTGGTGATTATGAGGTTTGTGGTTGAGTTCGGCACATTTTGTTTGATGTTAAACGCCACACTCAGCAATATCTCAGCTGTATGACGGCGGTCTGTTGATAATCGCGTCTGGACCAGACAATCCAGTCATTGACATCATGAGCATCGATCCACGCAATTGGAATACGATGACATGCATCAACCAAGTAAGCAAGCCTGGCCACCCGATCCATTTAATCGCCTCTTACGACAAGCATGGGTTGCTGAAGACCTATTCTAACCGGGTCTTCACGGGTCCTAGTGTGTTTCAATCCCAGTTTTGCTTTATTTATATTTCTTAGCTTGTCAGCACGGCACCAGTGCTGGTGTGTTTCACCTCAGTGGTAAACGTCTAGTCCAGAATCACATCGGGCTTTCCTCCCACATTTAGCCGACACACCGTGAATTAATCGAACACTAAGTCTTAACGAAGCAGCATTAAACATATTCACTCACCCACTTACTTATTGGCTGAGAGTGTTGGTAATGAAACAATATTCCAAGGCAAAAATAAAAATATGATATTGCAGCGTTTGGATTCACATTGCTTCAGTGCAAGTTTCCTTTGAGGATGACAGTGTTATATTGCCTATAGTTATTAGTTATGTACTACAGTAAACTACGGTTATAACGAACTCAAAGGGACCACTAACTTTTGTTCGTTATAACCGTAGTTCGTTATAAGCATATATACAGTATAACAATAGCAAATAGTCGGGACAAAAAATTCAGTTCGTTATATCCGTCAGTTCGTTATAAGCGTGTTCGTTATAAACGTACTTTACTGACTGCAGTTTACCCAAATATACCACTACTTCATTAATCATGTTGCTGTTTCCCTGCTAACAACAGTGATGCTTATTTGTTTCAGCAACAAAAGGTTTGTCAGGACCTCGCGTTCTGCCCTTCCTCGGCCACGGCATGAACTCCATCTACGTCATCTGCAACCTCTGTGTTACGGCCATGCCGATACGCTTGTTCCATTTCTGGCAACCTTTAGTCTTCACCGTCATCTACGGCATCTTCAACACCGTTTACCTCGCCGTTGGCGCCACTGACGATACAGACAAGCCTTACATCTACCCACCGATAGACTGGCGAAAAAGCCCAGTGAAGGCTGAAGCTATAGGTCTAGGTGTAGTGTTTGGTGTGATCTTCCTTCATATATTGATATTCTTCATACATCTAGCACGTAGAGGTATAGTGCACGCATGTCGATGCGGAACTCCCACAGCAGAGAAAGAACCAGCTGCAGCCAAGATGAAGTCATTAAGTGGCGAATACGGGAGTACTCACAAAACAAATAATTTGTAAGATATTTGGGTATAGGGTTTAATAAAATGTTGAGTTTCTGTTTGAGACGTTCTTTAATCTAAATAGCCTGTGCGACGCATTAAATGAGATCAAATCTCCTGCAGACTAGGTACATCGAAAGATACGAAAGTTGATTTGGTATGTTGTTTTAGGGCGCATACAGCAACATTACAGCTAACTTACGGCGGCCTTTAAATAACCAACCCAGGCACACGAGTGAGTGAGTGAGTGTGAGCTTATTGTGTGAGGAAGGCTCGAAGTGATGCAGGTCTCAGACGTTTACTACTTCGGTGAAACCAACAAGCACGGGTATGTTGCTGACAAACCTAGAACCATAATTGGCGCGGACCAGGATCATAGGTTTCTGGCGTGCCCAAGGGACGCAACTCTGCACACACTCTGATGACGAACGTCGTTGGGGTACGATGACACACCTCAGCCACACGTCACAGAACGTTACCACCCGATCCCCAATTTATACTACACTGCGACATCATCAGGTACGTGAGTGAGCACGCACACACACGCAGATACGCACGCAAACAGACACACACACGCGCACGCACACACACACATACTAATAAGTGAGTGAGTGTCGTATTTTAGCAATTTGTTATCAGCAATCCGACCGGAAACACCCAGGGGAAGCGGCTTCACTGTTTCTCCCAATTGTGTTGGTGGAACTCGGATGTTAATTAGTAAGATTAGTAGTAGTAATCTTCAGGTCTACCCCAACGCCTCTCATTACTCTACTGATACTACTTTCTACCTGTAGTTCCGTGAAGATCCGGGATAGAATAGGTCTTCAGCAACCCATGCTTGTCGTAAGAGGCGACTTACGGGATCGGATGGTCAGGCTCGCTTACTTGGTTGATGCATGTCAACGTATCCCAATTGCGTGAATCGATGCTCATGATATCAGTCACTGGATTGTCTGGTCCAGAATCGATTCTTTACAGACCGCCGCCATATAGCTGGAATATTGCTGGGTACGGCGTTAAACTAAAAACAAAACAAAAAATCGAAATGCAAAAATACAAATCAAAGAATAGTAGAAGTTTAAAGATATGTGCTCGATTCGTGACATTTGTATGTGAAGCACATCTCCTGTGTTCCCCGTCAATCACCCGTTCAGAGACTGAGTGACGAGTAAAACTTGAAACCATGATACACTTGTCCGACATTTGTTTGACATTGGTAATTGGGTGAGTTGGGCTGTGTACTTCCCAGGGATGCAAGCTGATATTATAATTATTATTATACTCGTCTTCTTCTTCCTCTTCCTTTTCTTATTCTTACCATGCATGCAATGTGATGTGTGTTGGCATCGCAGGGTGAATGGAGAAGGACGAGGATGAAGATGGGGATTTCACCAGCGCTTCCCGAGATGTTGTGTGGATGTGATATGTAGTCCAGATACTTTATGCCATTATTATATCTTGGACTGGCACCAAGGACACTTTCAGTTTTAGGAATTGTTCTAAATTCACAATTAGATAATCTGTGGTTTATCAATACAAGGGAGATAATTCAAATCGTTTTAGATGTCTTTGGAAGTTGGAGAAAAAGAAATCTCACTATAATCGGTAAAATAACAGACGCCTGAGTTATAAAATCTTTAGCACTATCTACTTTAGTACATTTATCATCCAAAACTGGCTCCCACAGGAGATGTCGCTCGGGTGAGATATAGAGAATCTCACCCTCGTGTCTTTTGATATCAAATATATCAACACAAGTTGATAAAAGTAGGAAAACTCCGAGGCTTGCCGAGGATTTTTTCCACTTTTATCAACGAGTGTTGATATATTTGATATCAAAAGATACGAGGGTGAGATTTTATTTATCATCCAACATCAATCTTTCAACTTTTTCAGTTTGTAGACAGTAATAAGCAGTGTCTTAAGTGTAAAAAGTACTGCTAACAGCTTCAGTAGCAGAGCCATTAGTGATGTAATTTGATTGTGACGTCATGGTAACCAATGAAGTCACAATGGTCTGCAAAGCATTGTGATCCAATTTCATTGCAGCGATATCTACAGTGTAGATATCGCTTGATCTCACCCAAGCCATATCTCCTGTCGGAGCCTGTTTAGGATGATAACAAGCGATATCTACATTGTAAATATCGCTGCAATGAAAGTGCATCACAATTATTACCATTATGACGTCATTGTTAGCATGACGTCACCCACACATCACCCACACATCCACTCTCTCCCCCCACACCCACACATCACCCACACCCATATCAGACTCTCTCTCCCCACACCCACGTCACACTCTCTCCCCTCACACACACACACATCACACACACTCCCCCCCCCCCCCCCCCCCACACACACACACACATCACACAAACACACACATACACGCGCAAGCACACACACACGCACACACACACACATGCATACGTACATATTGTACATTGTTGTGTAACTTCGACACAAAGACTGGTGTTCTTTTGAACCCGATTTATTTACTAGAGTACAGGCGACAGCCAGCATGACGTCCATTCGAGAACACAACAATCCATGACGTCACCTGATGACATAATACGCAAACATTTACGTGCGGGAGCTAACTCTAAAATAGACTGGGTTTTACCCTAATCAGCGATAACTGAATTTTTGGTATAACAACATATAATTTAATCTCGATGGTTGGACCAAATAATTTTCGTCGAATACTTTTAGTAGTTTAACCGGCAGATTTTGGAAGAGTGTTTGTGGTAACATTTGTCATGCTGAACTCTTTACGCCATTTTAACATACGTGTAGCTAGTCAAATGTTGTCAACGTTCATACACATATATCTACTTAACCTATGCCACAAAGTAGTTCAATTTTATAAAATATGATTTATAGCTGAAGAACAAGCTAGTGGAAGGCCCACAGGCCTCTTGGCAGGTGAAAATATTGATGTTTCGGTTTGCCATGTGGATATCTTACTACTTGCGGCTTAATTGTGTAAACAATGAGGAGATAAACATACTGTGTTTTCAATGTAGAGCAAGGTTACCTGTAGATTTAACCGCGCTAAATTTGGAACCAAATGCGCAGCACGGCACGGCAATTTGGAAAGCTGACACGAGAAAAAGAAAACTAAGCAACCTTGGCAAAGCTTTCGTTCTACACCGCGCGTCAACATTATGACGTCATATCGCTCACTGTGTCGCAAAAGATGTGACATCACAGTCTTAAATAGAAAAGCGCCAAATTCCAAGCTCTCTGTTGTCTCCAAAACTTAAATACATTCTCTTTGTTGATTTCTGTCGTGTTTTCTGCACGAAATGTATTGCCACACATCATTTGGAATAGTGTAATAACCACAATTTTGCATTTTGTAACCTGTAATTGTAGATATATAGAGAATCTCACCCGAGTGTCTTTTGATATCAAATATATCAACACGAGGTGATAAAAGTGGAAAAATTCCGAGGCTTGCCGAGGATTTTTGCCACTTTTATCAACGTAATATTCCTAACTGTCTCGCAAGACTTATTTGTACCATTGTTTCCGGGAATGATGTTAAAACTACCCGCCTTGCTGAACTTAAGAGTTTCCTACTGCATCAAAATTATCCCGCAAAGCTAATTGAAGATAGCATACACTAGGCGCTAAGTATTGAGCAACTAAAACTGAGAGAAAAGTCTGAAGATAACAATATTGGGAATAACTCTAGTATCTACCTTCAACCCTAATCATGAAAAAACATTATCCATGGTTCAACGATACATGCCTATTTTGAATCAAAGTATTAAAATGGAGAAGATATTGAGCAAATACAAAATTATCAACAGCCAAAGACAACCCAAAAATCTAAGAAAGATTTTGACAAGTTCTAAATTTGATTCTGTTGTCATCACTCTCCACAGGTTTCTAAGTGCGGTGACAAACGTTGCCTAACTTGCAGCAATATAATTGAAGGCTGTTCAGTCCAAAATACAAAGGACACTAAATTTACTGTAAAACAAAATATGACTTGTGATACTAGAAATGCTATTTACTTGATTGTTTGTAGTGGATGCAATGAAAAGTATATCGGAAAGACAGAACTTAAATGAAAAAGAAGAATGAATCTTCACCGTTCATAAATAAAGCAGCCACACAACCGCACGATTCCGCTCAGTGAACATTTACATACATGTAGAAGCGGCAATTGTTTAGTTTTCCCGCTAAATAAGCTAAATTTTGATCATGAACCTACAAAAGAGTAACATTTCATTCATAAATACGCGCCTGAGGCGTAAAGGCGTAACTTATTTGTCCATTGTCACCTTGGTATTGTGACGTCATAGTTCTAAATGTTATGACGTCACGTAACTATATGTTACAACTTCATGTCCGTTAGTCAGTTATGGCCTGAGACTCATACGTGGTACGAGTTGAAAGCGCTAGCTAAAAAAGCTGAGACAAAAAGATCCAAACCACCATACAGTACCTTGCGCCCAATAAAACAATTAAGGATTGACTGTGTATTTTTTTCGGTTCATTGAGGTATGAATCGAAAAACCGATGTGCAAACTGTATGAATCCGCATAGCACATCGGTTTTTCGATTCATACCTCAATGAACCGAAACAAATATACAGTCAATGCTTATAATTAAATTCGACAACGTAAAACATGTTTTATCTACAATAGTTTAACCCAAAACAGTTGCATATATCAAAACAGACAAAAATGACGACATTGATAAACATTCCAGGTGTAGGAATACATACAGTGGCGTGACATGAATCAGGTGATCGTTTGATTTATGCACATAACTTGACACGCCTACACAGTCAGTAGCCAATCAACGGAGAGTGGGATTATAACAATGTTCATTGGACCTGTCAATTAAGGCAAGAGGCGAAGAGAACTGCAACAGTCAGACTGTAACGAACCGGAAGAAATATGTCCGAGAGAAGGCGGCTGTTTCAAATAACATGGTCATTTACTGCGTGATTCAAACATTACTTCCCTGGATACGGTAAAACACAGTTGGAGAAATGCTAGTTAGAAATGAAACCCGAAGACATGAAAGTTGAACCGAGGCGAGCGGGAAAAACACAGGCGAGCGAGCCTGCACGTTTGCTGTTTCATTCATTCTCGGCCCTCAGTTTCAAAGGGTAGTTTGGACAATGCATATGCATGAAAGTCGCTAAATTTCCTGTGCATGACGATACACGTGAGCAGAAAGGGAATTCCCTCGACTGTATTATTGGGATTCTCCGTCATTCCGCAGTAATATAAGTAGTGCGCCTCGGTGGGCGTGGCTTAATTCTTTACATTCATTGGCACACTCCGTCGCAGTGGTGACTCAGCATAACACCACTGCCACAGGCTAATTTGCATATCACGTGACCGGACTTTTCTCTTGTTTGTAAACAAACGCGCTTTTTCAGAAATCAGTATAGAACGGACTAATGTAAGTATTTGGGGGCGCTTTACATATTGTTTTGTATAACTATATAGATATGCTACTACAACTGCGACAGTGAGTTGCATTACACTATATATTTATGCATCAAAGTGACCGTGTCGCTAGCTCTCCGTTGCGCTTCGATGACAGCACGTGGAGCCGTACAACCAATGTAAACATAGGATAACTACGCAAAAACAAGTAGATTTTTACGTATTTGCATACTTTCTCAATGAAAGTTAACCATTCTTTGACATTTGCTTATGAAAATGTGTAGACTTGTCAAACATGAAACGGATGAAAAGCATATGCAATATCTTGAATGGACTGTGAAAGATGTGACGAATCGTCACATGGCGCTGACCTGTGGCAGAGGTACTATGCTGGCTGGCTGCCGGCCGCATGGAACTCTGGGTAGGAGAGTGGTTCATTGGGAAATGAATGCAATAACACGTGACCAATTCAGCTAATCAGAATGCAGGAATTTCAATGAACACAACGAAAATTTAATTATCAAGTTATGGTCTGATAGTCACAAGTTATGGTCTGAAAGTAACACGTCTACCCTTTGCCAAGAATGGACTGGATCATTTTGCATTCAACAAGAAGACAAACAGTGGGTATTAATGTAAGAGATTTTATTATTTATGATGCTTAAAATAAATATACAATAACGGTCATGGCCTGACGGATAACAAGTCACAATAGTTCAAAAGCAGTAGTCATACACAAAGTCATTAGCACAATTAGCACTGATAGGTGAAAGAATGGGCATAGCAAGGGGCAGCTAAGTAATTAGCCATGTGTATATGGAGTACCTTGTAAAGACATGTAGGGCATCGCGTGTATATGGAGTACCTTGTAAACACGTGTAGGGCATCGCGTGTATATGGAGTACCTTGTAAAGACCTGTAGGGCATTGCGTGTATATGGAGTACCTTGTAAACACGTGTAGGGCATTGCGTGTATATGGAGTACCTTGTAAACACGTGTAGGGCATTGCGTGTATATGGAGTACCTTGTAAAGACGTGTAGGGCATTGCGTGTATATGGAGTACCTTGTAAACACGTGTAGGGCATTGCGTGTATATGGAGTACCTTGTAAAGACCTGTAGGGCATTGCGTGTATATGGAGTACCTTGTAAAGACGTGTAGGGCATTGCGTGTATATGGAGTACCTTGTAAACACGTGTAGGGCATTGCGTGTATATGGAGTACCTTGTAAAGACGTGTAGGGCATTGCGTGTATATGGAGTACCTTGTAAACACGTGTACGGCATTGCGTGTATATGGAGTACCTTGTAAAGACGTGTGGGCATTGCGTGTATATGGAGTACCTTGTAAACACGTGTAGGGCATTGCGTGTATATGGAGTACCTTGTAAAGACGTGTAGGGCATTGCGTGTATATGGAGTACCTTGTAAACACGTGTAGGGCATTGCGTGTATATGGAGTACCTTGTTAAGTCGTAAAGGGCATTGCGTGTATATGGTGTAGCTTGTAAACACGTGTAGGGCATTGCGTGTATATGGAGTACCTTGTAAACACGTGTAGGGCATTGCGTGTATATGTAGTACCTTGTAAACACGTGTAGGGCATTGCGTGTATATGGAGTACCTTGTAAACACGTGTAGGGCATTGCGTGTATATGGTGTACCTTGTAAAGACGTGTAGGGCATTGCGTGTATATGGAGTACCTTGTAAAGACGTGTAGGGCATTGCGTGTATATGGAGTACCTTGTAAACACGTGTAGGGCATTGCGTGTATATGGAGTACCTTGTAAACAGGTGTGGGCATTGCGTGTATATGGAGTACCTTGTAAACACGTGTAGGGCATCGCGTGTATATGGAGTACCTTGTAAACACGTGTAGGGCATCGCGTGTATATGGAGTACCTTGTAAACACGTGTAGGGCATTGCGTGTATATGGAGTACCTTGTAAACACGTGTAGGGCATTGCGTGTATATGGAGTACCTTGTAAAGACGTGTAGGGCATTGCGTGTATATGGAGTACCTTGTAAAGACCCGTAGGGCATTGCGTGTATATGGAGTACCTTGTAAAGACATGTAGGGCATTGCGTGTATATGGAGTACCTTGTAAAGACGTGTAGGGCATTGCGTTTATATGGAGTACCTTGTAAAGACGTGTAGGGCATTGCGTGTATATGGAATACCTTGTAAAGACATGTAGGGCATTGCGTGTATATGGAGTACCTTGTAAAGACGTGTAGGGCATTGCGTGTATATGGAGTACCTTGTAAAGACGTGTAGGGCATTGCGTGTATATGGAGTACCTTGTAAAGACGTGTAGGGCATTGCGTGTATATGGACTACCTTGTAAAGTCGTAAAGGGCATTGCGTGTATATGGTGTAGCTTGTAAACACGTGTAGGGCATTGCGTGTATATGGAGTACCTTGTAAACACGTGTAGGGCATTGCGTGTATATGGAGTACCTTGTAAAGACGTGTAGGGCATTGCGTCTATATGTAGTACCTTGTAAACAGGTGTAGGGCGTTGTGTGTATATGGACTACCTTGTAAACACGTGTAGGGCATTGCGTGTATATGGAGTACCTTGTAAAGACGTGTAGGGCATTGCGTGTATATGGAGTACCTTGTAAACACGTGAAGGGCATTGCGTGTATATGGAGTACCTTGTAAACACGTGAAGGGCATTGCGTGTATATGGAGTACCTTGTAAACACGTGAAGGGCATTGCATGTATATGGAGTACCTTGTAAACACGTGAAGGGCATTGCGTGTATATGGAGTACCTTGTAAACACGTGAAGGGCATTGCGTGTATATGGAGTACCTTGTAAACAAGTCGACAGATTTCCATGTGTATCGAGCACAGACATTGATACAACTACCGCAATCAAAATGCGTCCACATAGATATCATTGCAGAGATACACAGGGATATTTATAATGTGTCATTTAAATTCTTCTACTAGTATACATATATAGAAGTTTTCATTACTAGAACCTAGTATGTTCATTTTCATTTGCCTGATCATGCGTGTGGCGTCTTTCACGAAATTGTTTAATATCGCGACTGTGCATTACTGTGGCTGAGTGGACGGGAGACTGGAGACAGCAAACGAAGATGTGGGATGAAACCTCGCTAAGCCAAACTCCGTTAATCAGAACATATCAGCCGCCGGACGACCAAAGACGTATTGCTGAAGCTACATCAACCAGGTACACAACGTCATATACATATACAAGGTGTTTATGTACATTGAACAATGTTTCCGCTGTATTCCTCAACTAATTACACGTAAAGAGAACTGAAAGGTTATATAGCATACTAATATGCCTGCAACATGTGTGACCTAATTGGGAAGATATTGCTGTGTCGATCAATATGATAATTATTATAGTATTTCAGATTGGACTTCGCCCGTTCATTTACATAGAAATTGTTTCAAATATTGCCAGTGACGGACTTCTGTGTTTCTGCGGCTGGGTGTATAGGCGCCAGGAGCCGGGAAGATGAGTGATGAAGCCTCTCTAAGCCAAACTCCGTTAATCCGGAGACGTCATCCGCCGGACGACCAAAGGTTGGAATTATCAAATTACAATACACCGTTTATCCGAGTCATTCTATTTTAAACGACATTGAGGAATGTTGTTCGATTGCCAAAGGTCTCTGGTGATCATTTCATAACATTTGAGAGTTGTTTCTTGTGTGCTACAGATAGCATATATGTTACAAGAGTTTTATCATGACTGTCTTTTTGATTTGCTCATGCAGCTCCATAGCAAGGGATGCCATTAAAGTGTCATTATTTAATTCTATATTACAAAAATTGCCCGGAGGATATTTTCACAGTGTGGGTAGCGAGAAAAGGCATTCATCGTCCCTCTGTTTTATATTTGTGAGGGACGGTCGGGTAGCCTGTCACTCGTAGCTCGTCACGCCGAAGACCCGGGTTCGATTCCAGACATGGGTACAATGTGTGAAGCCCATTTCTGGTGTCCCCCGCCGTGATATTGGTGGAATATTGCTAAAAGCGGCGTAAAACCATACTCACTCACTCTCTCAATACAATCATGTGTTCTGTTACCACATATTTCTGAACCACATACACATGGCATTATTTTAGGGTCGGTACCTTAAAATATACAGTACGGGTTAAATGACACATTTAAACAGACGTCGTATTACCTATGTCAATAATCTTCTTTTTTTCTGGAGTTGTCAACTAGTAACATCAGGAACCATTTAAACCTCCCGACATCAGGTCACAACTGATATTATATATTACTGATATTTATCCATTTATTTCCATCTTTGATCGCGAACGTTGTCCAATTCATCTTCTCTATTTGCAAATAAGAGCACATCGGTTTAGGGAAACCCGTGCCCAACAAAGAATAGTGAAACCAGAAAGTCTTACCCCGAGCTACCTCAACAACAATGGAATAAGCATTTACGGTTTAAGAACATCGCTTCCAGCGCAATACAAGAAGTAAACACCTTTGTATGACGTCAACGCCAGAGAATAACCAGTCTCGATTATCCGACGAAACAGAGTCCCGTGGGCGTAAAGGGAAATCTAGGGAATACAAATGAACCAGTTCACGACCCTTACGCTTGATCAACTATTACGACTGATTTATCTTTACAACATATTACCCCAGTCGTCACGGAGTGTGGATGTGCTTAATTACCGGATTCAAGACAACGTCTGTGGTAACGTCATAGAAGATATTCCACCTGTTGAGTGAAATACAATGTTTGTCTCATCTCGTGAAGGGAGAAAGGAGATATTTTCACCTGTGGCTACTTTTTGAATTTGAATTTTAATTATTTCCTTGCAAATGTAAAACCTTAAAACGCTAATTCCCCCTACCTTACACACAGAAACGTATCACCACCCCTTGTAAATGCGTCTTAAAAAGCGTTCCGTGTTTGCAAAATCGTAAAATATATTACTAAAGTAACAAAAGATATTTGATGCCCACAAAATTCTTTATCATACATTTGGAAATGATTATATAGAAAAACAATTCTTGAAATCTGCGAGACCAGCGAAAATACACGCTGGTCCAGTAGCAAATATGGCGCTTTCCGAAACAAACAGTTTACATTGACGAGTTACATGAGAAATATACAGTTCATAACTAAACATTTTCAAGAGAAAAACAAACGATAAGAAGTAACAATAACTACACAAATGACCCTTGGTCGTTATTATGCCTTGTCACTGTGGAACTAACATAAACAGGAGGTCAACAGTTTGTGTACGGGCCAGACACTTACGATAAAGGGGAGATAATTTGCGGGGAGGTAACTCTGGTTATACAATATTTTCGTCAAAATGTTATGCTCACTACAATTATAATATCACTATTCTCAACTTTGGAATACTTCAGTGTCTTTCTCACTGAAATATAGAAGAGCATATTAATTATTTGACATAGAGCTAGATCCCACGACCTTCGTGCTGGTGTACAGCCAGTATATTCAGTTACCAAGGTAATGGTGTTTCAGTGACAGTTCAGGCTCCATAACAATGTGTTCCAAGGAACACTGGAGAGAACAGTTCCGGTGTTCCAGCTTTGGACTAGAGTATCCACAACCACATCATTTTACCAAACTTGAGGTAAGTGTTACATTGTTGATCAACAGGCATGCTATTTCTTCCAAGACTTCTGAGAACATCATACAATTCAACTCAAAAGTGGTCAGGGTCACAGCATTCTACGCCTTGATGACATTGATGACAGCCACGTGGAAGACGTGGAAGACATGCGCAGATAGAGGCGTCAGTGACAAAAATGATGTCCGATGCACAATTCCAAACTTTTACTTTTACATATATATTTGTCAACATATGCATAATTTCTTGTGGAACCTAGTATATGTTCCTGTGTGTTCACGGGGAAACTTGACTTGCCTTTGCATGTGTCTGTGACGAGTGCCACCAGTGGATCAGATACTTACGAACACCCTGTGTCATCACTTTTTCTATGTTGATTCATAAAGGTATGCTTTTTATATAACTGATCTCGTACAGAACAGAGTTCTTTTTGGGTTTTGAAATGTTCACCTCCCTGTGTCTTCAGTGGGGCTGGCCGAAGGCGTACTTGTGTTGGCGCGGTGTTGTTGCTGCCTACCACGTCGTCATGATCATCGTAACGGGGTTCTGTGACAGACACACGTGGACGAGGACCGAAGAGGACAGCATCAAGTGGTTCATCTATCTCACAAACTGGATGTTCTTCCTTCTGACGTTTTCCACTCTGATTAACTTTGTTGCAGTGGGCTACTGTCACCTTGTGAGGAAAGACATCATTAGTGGTTCGTACGAGATCTGTCACAACTCACAACACACTTCGGTTGACGTCTTTAGAATAAACGTGCTACGAGGCATTTCGTCCCGAATTAAGTGATGAAATGAACCCCGAGCCTTTCCGAGGGACTTGAAACATTTATTCATGATGGCCTAGCAGTTTATCCTATATATTATCCGCCATGGTAGAGAAAACTGAAGACAACCCAATGAACTTTATTGATAAACTTGTCAGCTTATTGTTCTTATGACGTATTGTCGAATTTTTGTGACGTGCTGTCAATACGTGACGTCAACTCGTATTGTTTTCAACAATGGCTCAATTTGACGTCATCTCGCTTCAGTCAACACTGAAAATAGCTGAAATGTACAAAATCGAAAATATCGATTTAAATCTTATGAACTCGTTTTTCGTACACATATAGATACTATTTCGGCTCAGTCAAATTGTAATAAGTCGGTGTCATGCATTTACATTCAAATGTCATGCATGTCGTCCACATTTTGTCAACCATTACAGACACAAGGGTAAATAGTGTGCAATATTAAAAAATAATGTATCAGCATTTATGCCAAAACATTTCTTATCCGGAAAATAATATTAGCTCCCCGTCTGACCAAACTATTCCCCAAACGATATCTTTGTTTCAACAGGTGGAATCAAACGTATGCCTCTGTTTCTCAAAGTGACCTGGGTTTCCCAGAACGTGAGCAATGCCTGCAGTGTGCTGGTGACGATCATGTTCTGGACACTGATATATTCACGTAAGATCACCTTCATCGGTCTGTGACATTAGGCATTGTTACCTGTAGATTCCCAAATTGAAACAATATGTTAATTCAGAAATATGTACGTATGTTTGGCCAGTTCGACCAGTTCAGACTTTTTGAGCACGGAGAATCGCTCCGTCGAAGGTTAGCTGCCAGATTCATAGAATAGCGATCGTTGGCTTCACACAATATTAGACAATAAAATGTTTAGCTGTATTCTGCACGTTTCCTGAAAATGTACTTTTGTTTTAAAACTAAATGCCATTTTAAGCTTTAAGGTAAACATTATTCCAAATCATAAAACAAACTACAATACATATGATCTTTCTAGTAACGGTAGATCAATTCACAATATAACGGATGCTTTTTCATGAACGTGACTGTATATTGCTTTGAGCTGCAACAGAAGTCTGCAGTCCTGCACATTTACCGTTGCCAATACTGAAACACATGATATTAAATAACATTATTATTTCTGTTGCAGCTGGAAAGTCCGTCTCAGATGTTGACTTCATCACTCATACCGGCAACACCACGTACGTCATCATCAACCTCTGTATTGCAGCGTCTCCTGTAAGGTTTCTCCATTTCTTCCAACCCCTCATCGTGGCGGTCACCTTCACCATCTTCTCCGCGGTGTACCAAGCTGCAGGCGGGACCAATGGCCTCGGCGCCAGTGCTATATACCCTGGATTGGACTGGTCAGCTGACCCGGGTGGTACGGCATTGGTATATTGTGTGATCAGCTTTATTGGCGTGCCAGCTGTGCAGTTCCTCATCATGTTGATCGCCATGGTCAAAGGGACTTTGTTGGGAAGACTTAGACATTCCTCTGTAGAGGAGGAGGTAGGGATGGATGAAGGTATAGGTTTGAGTGAAGACTAATGGGTCAGTCAAAGATGTGTAGGGGTTGTAGCTGTGACTGTCCATGCATGTGACCCCAACAAGCACTCATGCTGTGTCTGACATTGCACATTGCCGAACAGAAATATTACACCATTTGCGAATTTCAATTAATTACATTGTGACTTCTTTATGGAGTGAGTATTGCTTTACGCCGCTTTTAGAAATATTAAAGCGTTCTCTCGTCACGCCAAAGACCCGGGTTCGATTCCCGAAATGGGTACAACGCGTAAAGCCCATATTTCCTACACACAGAGCGCTTGCTGAATGACATCACAGGGCAGCTTTGTTCAGAAGATAAAGAAGCACAACTAGTTTACCATTCAACTGACCTTGACCTGCAATGAAGATAGCTTAAGACCGCGTAAGTGCTTCATTCCAAAAATAAAATGTCCAAAAATCATCCTTCTACTTTGTGTACATCTTTGTTATTTTTTTATGATAACTTAGTTTTGAGGATACACACAGTGTTTGGCGAAGACATCACAGGACATACACACACAGTGCTTGCTGAATGACATCACAGGGCATATACACACAGTGGTTGCTGAATGACATCATAGGGCATACACACACAGTGGATGCTGAATCACATCACAGGGCATACACACATGGTGGTTGCTGAATGACATCACTGGCCTTACATACATGGTGGTTGCTGAATGACATCACAGGGCATACACACATAGTGGTTGCTGAATGACATCACAGGACATACACACACAGTGGATGCTGAATGACATCACAGGGCATACACACACAGTGGATGCTGAATGACATCACAGGGCATACACACATAGTGGTTGCTGAATGACATCACAGGGCATACACACACGGCGGTTGCTGAATGACATCACAGGGCATACACACACAGTGGATGCTGAATGACATCACAGGACATACACACACAGTGGATGCTGAATGACATCACAGGGCATACACACACAGTGGATGCTGAATGACATCACAGGGCATACACACACAGTGGTTGCTGAATGACATCACAGGGCATACACGCACAGTGGCTGCTAGATGACATCACAGGGCATACACACATAGTGGTTGCTGAATGACATCACAGGACTTACACACATAGTGGATGCTGAATGACATCACTGGCCTTACATACATGGTGGTTGCTGAATGACATCACAGGGCATACACACATAGTGGTTGCTGAATGACATCACAGGGCATACACACATAGTGGTTGCTGAATGACATCACAGGGCATACACACACAGTGGTTGCTGAATGACATCACAGGGCATACACACACAGTGGCTGCTGAATGACATCACAGGGCATACACACATAGTGGTTGCTGAATGACATCACAGGACTTACACACATAGTGGATGCTGAATGACATCACAGGCCTTACATACATGGTGGTTGATGAATGACATCACAGGCCTTACATACATGGTGGTTGCTGAATGACATCACAGGGCATACACACATGGTGGTTGCTGAATGACATCACAGGACATACACACACAGTGGATGCTGAATGACATCACAGGGCATACACACACAGTGGATGCTGAATGACATCACAGGGCATACACACATAGTGGTTGCTGAATGACATCACAGGGCATACACACACGGCGGTTGCTGAATGACATCACAGGGCATACACACACAGTGGATGCGGAATGACATCACAGGACATACACACACAGTGGATGCTGAATGACATCACAGGGCATACACACACAGTGGATGCTGAATGACATCACAGGGCATACACACAGTGGTTGCTGAATGACATCACATGGCATACACACATGGTGGTTGCTGAATGACGTCACAGGGCATACACACACAGCGGTTGCTGAATGACATCACAGGGCATACACACATAGTGGATGCTGAATGACATCACAGGGCATACACACATAGTGGTTGCTGAATGACATCACAGGGCATACACACATAGTGGTTGCTGAATGACATCACAGGGCATACACACATAGTGGTTGCTGAATGACATCACAGGGCATACACACATAGTGGTTGCTGAATGACATCACAGGGCATACACACACAGTGGATGCTGAATGACATCACAGGGCATACACACACAGTGGTTGCTGAATGACATCACAGGGCATACACACACAGTGGATGCTGAATGACATCACAGGGCATACAAACACAGCGGTTGCTGAATGACATCACAGGGCATACACACACAGTGGATGCTGAATGACATCACAGGGCATACACACACAGTGGTTGCTGAATGACATCACAGGGCATACACACACAGTGGCTGCTGAATGACATCACAGGGCATACACACATAGTGGTTGCTGAATGACATCACAGGACTTACACACACAGTGGATGCTGAATGACATCACAGGCCTTACATACATGGTGGTTGCTGAATGACATCACAGGCCTTACATACATAGTGGTTGCTGAATGACATCACAGGGCATACACACATGGTGGTTGCTGAATGACATCACAGGACTTACACACATAGTGGTTGCTGAATGACATCACAGGGCATACACACATTGTGGATGCTGAATGACATCACAGGGCATACACACATAGTGGATGCTGAATGACATCACAGGACTTACACGCATAGTGATTGCTGAATGACATCACAGGGCATACACACATAGTGGTTGCTGAATGACATCACAGGGCATACACACACAGTGGTTGCTGAATGACATCACAGGGCATACACACAAAGTGGATGCTGAATGACAGCACTGGGATTGTGTATTGTGAACCTTTGTCAAACGTGCATGCATGCAGTTTAGCTATTCTCAATGTGGATGAAGGGATATGACATCACATTTGAACCCACGACCATAGGTTTCTGGCACGCACAACGGACGAAACTCTGCATTGTGAATTACTGCTTCTTAAATGACTGAGCCTAATAATAGCAATGGGAATATTTATCAACATCAAGTACCCATTACCTTTATCGAAACGACGAACTTCATGTTCCACCAGAACTCTTTCTAATACCCTCCTCCTCCAATAATGCCACCTGTCCACAAGTTAGACGTGACATGGCAGTTTTGGTTTGCATTAGCTCAGGACCTTATCAGAAGTAATGTACTGAACAACAAAAGTTCCTGTGACATTGAATAAGATTTAATGCAAAGTTATGTTTTTTTACGAAATCTGAAACAATTTCGGTTTGCAACAGATAAAAGACTCCTGTAAGTGTTCACATGGTTTAATTTGCCATACTGACTTCAGAAAATGCGTGATTTCATATAAAAAAACATGAACATGCCAAAATGTCAATTTACAAGTCAATAGCGTGTGTGTCCACCTCTGGTTGTGATGCAAGCAACACATCTTCGTTTCATAGAATGGACCAGGCGTCGCACTAAGTCCCGTGGGATATCTGTCCATATCTGCTGGAGCATGTTTCGAAGTGCGCCGATCCATCTTATCCCACATGTGCTCGATTGGTGAGAGATCAGGGGAGCGAGCCGGCCTTGGGATGACATTCACGTTGTTTTGTTGAAGCGAATCCTGAACAAGTCGAGCAATATGAGGCCGGGCGTTGTCATGTTGAAAGGTAATGCCTGGGCCATAACGACGCAAAAACGGTAGAACAACAGGGCCGATGATCTCGTCGCGGTAGCGCTGTCCATTGATATTTCTCTCTACCGCTATCAGATTCAGATTCAGATTCAGTTTATTTCTCAAAGAAACCACCACCGGTGGTACATGAGCGTTTACAGCTATATATATATACATATGAAAATACAAAAAGATATCAACATGACAAGTGACAGGGTCAACGGTTCTTTCTTAATAACTTACATAGACATACAATATATCTGGACAAGTTTCTTATATCTTTTAGCCTTTTGGGTGAAACAGTTTTACAGAGTTTAAAAATATTTGGCCACAAGTAGTATTTTTGGGGAATATACCGAATTCTTTGTTGGAGTAGAGCTTCGCATCTGAAAAGATAGTGAAACTCATCTCCAACCGAGAGTGAATCACAAAGTTGACAAAGTCTATCTTCTTTTGGTATATTCTGCCATCGGCCAGTCTCAACGGGCAAATCGTGATTTGAGGTACGAAATTTTAATATCGGCATATATTTGCCTTTAGGGAGTAACAGATAGTTTTCAAATTTTGGGTTTTGCTTATAGTGTTTATAATATATACCCTTTGGACTCGACTCCATACTTTCCCTCCACTTTTGCATAAACTGATCCCTAAATATCTGTTCGACCGTTGAAACTAGCCAATTTGTAGAGCATATATATGGTTTATGAAATATTTCACTTAGGCCGACGTCATTTAGTATCTTCTGAACACACACAATCCATGGAAAATTAGTTTTGTTATTCTCAGACTTAGAAATAATGTAGCGGTACAGAAAGTGTGATATTTTATTTTGCCATTTTGGCAGGTCAATTTGTGCCAATAAGCTATTATACGTTTAAACAGTTTAATATATATTGGTTCCCTGTTAAGTTCTCCATATACCATATAATTTGGCGTTGAGTTTCTTAATCCGGCTGCAAATTTCAAGAATTTTAAGTGTGTTTTTTCTATTACTTCTAAATTTTCAAACCCCCATACATCTCAACAATATAAAAGGATTGGAGCAACCATGATATCAAAAGCAGTTAGGAGACAATCGAGTTGTAGATTTACATTTCTAGCTCTTTTTAATAGGCAGTACATCGCTTTCGTTGCACTTTCAATCAGAGCTTTTATTCCCATTACAAATATTCTGTTTCTATGGAATTTTATTCCTAGGTATGTATATGTATCAACTATTTCCAGAGGCCGTTTATATAAAAAAAAATAAAAAATTGGAATATATTTAGGCGGACCTCCTCCAAAAATTAAAACCTTGGTTTTTGATATATTTACGTTTAGTTTCCACCTTATACAATTATTTTGAAACACATCTAATGAGTTTTGTAGACCTTTGGGGGTTTCGCTAAAAAGTACAGAGTCGTCTGCATATAGGAGTACTATCAAATGTATCCAGACCTGGGCCTCATTATCCGTTAAGCAATCGATACTTATTCCTTCGCATTCGTTGTCGATTAAAAAGGTTTCCAGGTCATTGAGAAAGATTGAAAACAAAAGGGGGGACAGATTTTCCCCTTGTCGTACACCTGATTCACATGGAAAATACTCAGATAATGTATTATTTGATTTTACCAATGATTTTATGTTCATATACATATTTTTAACCAAATTGAAGAATCTTCCTTTCATGCCTGTTTTTAACATTTTAGTCCAAAGACCAGTTCTCCAGACAGTGTCAAATTCTTTTGTGAAGTCTATAAAGGCACAGTAGAGTTTTTTCTTTTTGGTTTTTAATATCTGTGTTAACATATGAATAACAAATACATTATCTGCCGTTGAAAAATTCTTTCTGAAGCCAGCTTGCGCTGATGTTATAAGATCGTTTTCTTCTAAAAAGAGTTTTAGTCGGTCATTTAGAATACTTGTAAACAACTTACCAAAGCAACTCAGCAATGTTATCGGTCTATACGAATTTGGGTCAGATGGATCACCTTTCTGTTTGTAAATTGGTTTTATTATTCTTGTTAACCATGATTCAGGGATAATACCAGAGGCGAGTACTAAATTAAAGAATTCAGTATATAAAGGGGCTAATAAATCGACACTGTCAATGATATAGTCGTTTTCTACGTTATCTAGACTTGCTGCTTTGTTCCGTTTAAGTTTCTTTGCTGCCTTTAAAATTTCATCGGTATTGATATCATCATTCAAAATACTGCAGTCTCTTACATTCCCGTCTAAAATATGTTCATTAAAATCATCTTCATCTTGTTTAGGGTTCTGGTTTATCTTTTTGAAAAATTCAAAAATGCTAGTAATATCCGGTCTATTTTTCTTTTCTGATGTACGTTGTTGATTTAATATTTTCCAAAAATCTTTTGGCGATTGTTTGATATTTTTGCGAAAAGCTTCGGTCAGTTGGTTATTATAATTGCGTATATGTTTGTCCATGCATTGTTTATAAGCTTTCGAATGCTGTCGGTAAACACCTTTATTTTTTACTGTATTATGTTTCCTATAACGACGTTTGGCTTTGTTAAACATTTTTCTTGCCTTTTTGCATTCATTTCCGAACCATGGTTTATCAGTTTTACTACGTAACGCAGCTTCCCCACCATTCGCAACAACTCGCCTCTTTCCGTAACCTGCAAGAAGACTCGTCCCCCTATCGATGAATGTTATGTGCGAAAATACGATAAACCAATCAGATTGCGCGTATGATTTCAAAGAATCCCTCAGAAATATGTTTTTATTTTACATATGTCTTGCATCTAAAAATATACCCAAGGCACAGTTAAATGTGTTCAATCATACTGTATAATTCCGCATGTCCAGATGTGCTTTAAATGGCATCTGAAATATATACAATATATGGGGAAATATATGTGAACCATAACGCGACGAGTTGACAATTATTTTAGGTATGCACGTTTGCGCTAAGACGGAACCCGGTCGCAAAAATGGCCATGAGAGGGGCACGAGTCGCTATTCGGCTTGTCCCGGAATAACACGAGTTGGTCACGAATGCTTCCCCCCTACAGCTTCTTACACCAAATGCCGCACGTGCAGCGTCAGTTAGCACGTGCGCTATGCTGTCTCCGAGATTGTTTACGGAAACTGGGTCACATTGTTGGATACGCGCTGCGTGGGCTAGTTGGGTGAGTTTATTTATTTGTTCAATATTTATGTTTTGGCGAAATAAGTCAGTTTTGTTGCTGTCGTAACGTTTTGGTTTATCCAATACCTTATGTATGTTATTCGGTTGAAGGGGTTCCAGGTTTTCTAAGTTAGATATTGACACAGTCAGAAAGAATGTGAGTGGACAATGTACATCCGAGAAAAGGGGAGAGAACTCCTGTATATCAAATGTTATAAAGAGGGGTAGGCACATTGGAGAAGCAATGACATAATCAATTACAGTTTTGTCCTTACATGTTGTTTTTCCAATAAGTCTATCCGTACCCAGTCGTCCATTTCCTATAAATTAATTCAGATTTTTACAGATATCAATCAGTTTATTCCCGAAGTTATTTATCTTGAATCTATCCTGCGTGCCCCTCACCCTTGGCAAATTCAAGTCTTCTAGTATAGATTCAGGCTCAATTTCTTTTCTTATCTCATTTACATCTAGATCAAATTATTCAATTATATATTCATCAAAAACATTATAATCACATAAATCACTTGTTCTTGCATTAAAATCACCGTGATTGTAACATAATCACTATTTGAGAATACCTCAAGTATAGATTTTTCTATTTCAAAGAACGTATCAACAGTAACATATTTTGACCCCTCGGGCGGGATGTAGGCATTGCTTAAGTAGAAGTCTTGGTCCAAGTTAAATAATTTTCTGCAAATTTTTATCCATTGAATATGCTCACACTTTACCTCAGTAGGAGTGGTATAGTTTACATATTTATTTCTAATTGCTATACCTAATCCCCCTGATTTTCTCAGGGCTCCTGATCTATTTTGGAGAAATAGAGTATATCCGTCAATTTGTAAGTCATCCAAGGAATCAGATTTTGTTTCTTGAAGGCCTATCATGTCTCTACTTTTGAGCAAGGTATTAAATTCTTTGTACCCTAATCGTTTTCTAAGTCCACACACATTTAAGCTTAGGAATTTTAACTTATTTATAATAACATCATTTCTAATTTTAGGGTCATCAGCATGATCACTTTCTGTAAAATCATCATCATCATCTTCATCATCATCATCATCATCATCATCCTCATCATCATCATCACCTCCGTCGTCATCAGCCTGATTTGCATCATTAGTATTATCGTTATCACCAGAATTGTCTCCTCGGGAAGATTCACTCTCTGGAGTACAATTCTCTGCAATGTTAATATGTTTAGCAATAGCATTGGCCCTATTATTTGGGGGGTGATCAGAAGGAACCTCAGACATATGGGAAGAATATTTTGTATCAAGTAAATTATTTTTGATTTGAGTGACTGTGCAATTTGTAGCATCAAGGGATGATAAAATAGAGTCACATTTCACCACATCGTCATCAACATCAACAAGATATGCATCATTTGTATTACTGGTATTACCAGTGTTTTCTCCTGGGGAATATTCGCATTCTGGAATAGAATTCTCTGCAATGTTATTATGTTTAGCAATATCATTGACCCTATTATTTATCTGTTTGTTTATGCAATCAATTGTTTGGATGTGTTCAGTGAGAGGTTCAGACTTATTAAAAATAGATTTTGTTTGTAATAAATTATTTTGGATAAGATTGACTGGGTCAATTGTAACATCAGGGGATGGTATATTAGAGTCACATTTCAACATATCATCATCAACATCATCAACATCATCATCAACATCATCATCATCATCATCATCATCATCTCCATCGGCATTAACATCAGCCTGGTTTGCATAATTAGTATTGCCATTTCCACGGATATTATCTCCTAGGATAGATTCACTTTCTGGAATACAATTCTCTACCATGTTATTATGTTTAGCAATATCATTGGACCTATTATTTACATGCTTGTTTATGCAGCCAATTGTTTGGGTGTGTTCAGTGGGAGCCTTAGACATATGAAAAATAGAAGTTGTTTGAAATAAATTATTTTGGATAAGATTGACTGTGTCATATGTAACGACAGGGCATGGTGTATTAGAGTCACATTTCAACATGTCATCATCAACCTCATCAGCCTGATTTGCTTCAATAGTTTTACTTTTATTAACAGTGTTTTTTTCTGGGGAATAATCACATTCTGGAATACAATTATCTGCAATGTTATTATGTTTAGCAATATCATTGGCCCTATTATTTATCTGCTTGTTTATGCAATAAATTGTTTGGGGGTGATCAGTAGGAAACTCAGACATATAAAATGTAGATTTTGTTGCAAGTACATTATTTTGGATGAGGGTGACTGTGCCATTTGTAACATCAGAGGATGATAAAATAGATTGACTATTATCACTAGTATAATCTCCTGGGGGAGATTCACTTTCTGCATTACAATTTTGTGCAATATTATTATATTTAGCAAGATCATTGTCCATGTTATTTACTTGCTTGTTCATGCATTGAAGCCCCACGCATATGAAAAGGAGATTTTTCTGAAAAATTATCAGTTTGGGTGAGAGTAACTGTACCTATTTTTACATCAGAGGATGATATAAGAGGGTCAATTTTCACCTCATCATCAACAGACGGGCAATCCATAGGTAGACCTGAAACACCAAGATGATTATAGTTGTCAGTACATGAGTAATTAATAAATAAAGTTATGTTGTGAACAGCAGAGGCAGCTGAGTTATCAGATTGTTCTGAAAGTTTAGTCCTATTGCTATATCTAGACTTTTTACACCAGGGGCTAAAGTCTACACCAGGATCAGAGTCTTGTAAGCATGGGGTGTGAAAAATACTAAAATAGTCACTCATGAACTCGTGTCCACCGTCCCATTCCTATGCTTGACCAGATTGCTTGCGGCGTGTCCTGTAGGGTGGTGGGGTGTCCTGTAGGGTGGTGGGGTGTCCTGTAGGGTGGTGGGGTGTCCTGTAGGGTGGTGGGGTGTCCTGTAGGGTGGTGGGGAGTCCTGTAGGGTGGTGGGGTGTCCTGTAGGGTGGTGGGGTGTCCTGTAGGGTGGTGGGGTGTCCTGTAGGGTGGTGGGGTGTCCTGTAGGGTGGTGGGGTGTCCTGTAGGGTGGTGGGGAGTCCTGTAGGGTGGTGGGGTGTGAACGTCCTGAAGCACTCTGTTGATGTACAGCTTATCAACCACAATGTAAGCTTGCTTACCCTTCTGTCCAACCTCTCTCAAAAGTGGCATTAGCACTTCTCGCCTATACTGACTCACCTCTTCAGGAAATTGCTCCACGATAGAAAAGGGTTCACCCTTCAATTTATTTGCTGCTGCCTTCACCGAATTTCTCTCCCTCCTGTAGATAAACTTTGCTATCAGGGCACGGGGCCTGACAGTATCTCCTGCATGTCTTGGGGGTCGGGGCCTGCCGATTCTGTGGACTCGTATAAATTTCATGTTTTCGGCGTCTAGATCCAGATGTTATTTAATGAAGTTTTTCAAAATGTCCTCACATTGTTCAAGAGTCGCCTCCGGTTCCGTCTCAGGTATATTGTTGAAAATTAGATTATCTCGCACTGAGCGACAATGTTGATCAATCAAGGATTCTCTCAGCGAGAGATTTTCTGCCTTCAAATTTGATAAATTTGGAACACAATCCTCAATCTGATCTTTTAATGCCTTCATGTCGCTTTTTATCCTAGCCTTGTCCGTCGTCCACGTGTCGAAACAGTCACTCATAAATTGGTTAGATTCCGCATATTCAGAATATCGCTACACGGTTTTAAGATTAACATGCTACGAAAGTCAAAACATACAAATGAAGACTTGAGTTTATATCTATGTACCCACTGTACAGGGAGGCAATTAGAGGATGAATTTCATGTTTTGTTTATATGTTCAAAATATTCTTCTGTCAGAAACCACTATTTGCCTTGGTTATCCAATGTCCATCATGATAATCACAGTTTATGTAATATACTCAACTCCAAAAATATCAACATTGTAAAGGCTTTGTCCTTATACTTAAATCATGTATTTAATGTGAAATAAGACTACTTGTATTTATTTTTCTGACATCACGTGACGCAGCAATTATTGTAATTGTTATTGTACTCTAGGCCACATGGCCCAAAATACTGAATAAAGAATCTTGATCTCTTCTCTCTAGATTCCGCAATATCATCTAATCGCGTTCTCAATGTGTCTATTTCTTGTACTTTATGTTCAAGTTTGGACATGTTTGTTTTGATGGAAAGCACATCTTGTTCAATAGCGTCTTGTTTTTAGAGTTTCTTGTCAATGAGATCAAGCTTGGCCAAGATGGCTGACGTATCTGGGCTCTGAGGTAGGGGTATCTGAGATGGCATGTAGGGACTGGCAAACGTTTGAAACTGACCTTGGTGTGGTGTAAATACTTGTTGGTGATGAACTTGAGGTGAGAAGGCTGTCTCAAGAGATTGTCTCACGGCGTTAGCTGCGTCCTTCTCGGCGGTTCGCTTGCTTGATTGAGTGTCCCCTGTATTCGCACTCGTGTTAGGCGAGGTAGATTTTTTCTTTCTTTTTCGTGTTTTCTTTTGGCTTGAGGGTGGTTTAGTCATAGCTGTTCATATTTTGCATCGGTATAGCTCTGATAATACCTCCATGGACGTAGCATTAGATGATAATCAAATGAAATGTGAGAGAGCTGATTCGTGTCACACCTGCTCTCGCCATTTTGCCATGGGTCCCCTGTCTTGCTGTAATCCCACCCGATACCATAACGCTGCCGCCCCGGAACCGATCTTCTTCCATGACACAATGTTTGACGTAACGTTCACCTCGACGTCGGTACACTCGAATCCGTCCATTGCTGTGGCTGAGGTGAAAACGAGACTCGTCAGTGAATAGAACTTATCCCCACTGCATGGCCGTCCAACGCAGACGCTGTCCGCACCACTGTAGACGTGCTTGACGGTGGTTTCCTGACAAAATGGGACGTCTTGCGGGTCTTCTGGCGACAATCCCTGCACATCTGAGGCGACGACGTACGGTTTCCGAAGATATTCGTCGATTGCCAGGGATGCCTCTTGCAGTCACTGTTGCTGGCTGGA